CGCTTTATTCAACTAAAGAGCGATTCCGCTTAAACTCGACGGTTGATTGTCATGCTTCATATAAACGCCCTCTTAGAACAATTACGTAATTCATCTCAGCGGTGCTTTTGCTTACACTCTTTATTTTAGAAATAAGAATTTCCTAAACTGAATGAAGCAATGTTTCTACTCAAGTCCAACTAATGTTTATCGTCCCACGAGTGAATTTGTGATTAAAAAAACTTAGTTAATTCAGTCCAGTAATGATTTGCTTGAAGTTTGGTAGCGATTATTGTATCGGAATCAAAAGCCCTTTAAGCACGCTTGTTCGATTTAACTCAGCATTGTTTCTAATTAAGCTCTACTACCGATCCAAGCACACTAAGCACGGCTACTAACTTGATGCATGCAGGGGGGCTTTGTTTATTGCTAAGGGCTTTTTTTTAAAACGTGTGTTGTACTGTTTGTCTGTAAGAATATTTAAAAAACCGTTCCTACGAACGCTTATTTCGTAACGAAACCACAAATACATAAGCAGATAAGCCGAGTAAAGAAACCTCAGTTTACTTAAGGATAAGTAGGGTTCCACCTAAAGTCCCTTTTTCTGCATAATTTTTTCTTTTTATTTTTAAATCATTTTTCCTTAATTAAGTCTTTCTTACGACCCTCTGTCTTGGACGGCAATAGTCTATGAAGCCTTTTATAGTGTGAACAGCTGTTATATATTAATTGAAAACAAAATACTGTAGAACTTATTTGGTATTTGCTTATTTTTTATTTTGTTGTTGTCTCTTTTGTGATTGTATAACTGTAAAGTGTGCTTTTGATTGTTGTTGCTATGGTTACGATTATTGTTGTAATATTAATTGAAATTATATTAAAATGTATTTTTTATAGTCGGCCATACAATTAAATCATTTGCAATTTCCTGCGTCACAAAAACGACAACACAAACAATAACCGCACACACACACACACACATAAATACACACAAAGTTAAACCCAAATAGTAGCAGCGTCGGACAAACAAATGTAGTAAGTAGTATAGCAAATAAGCATTTTATATGGTTACAGTTAAAATAAACGCAACAACAACAACTCTAATAGAGCAAGCAGCAGCTGTATCTAGCAGCTTTCAGCTTTAGTTTTTCTTTATGCATTTATTTATTTATTTTTCATTTTTTTTGCTCTTTTCAGGTCGATATGCATGTCGTTGCAAATGACTAAATAAAAATGTTATAAAATATTTAGATTTGATTTTTGTTAATAAATCACCTTTAGTCATACAACAACAACAACAACAACAAGAGAAACAATATTCGAATTAAAACACAATTTTAATATACTGTATGTTGTTATTATTATATTTGTTGTTGTTGTTGTTGTTATAGTACATATAGCCTCTCGGTTTATAATACTCTTGAAAACAAAGTTTAACTACTGTGCTTAGTATTTTTCGGATTTTTTTTCCCCTTTTTTTTGTATATTATTAAAACCAAAAAAATAAAAAACGCATTCTACAGTGATTATGTCAGCAGTCAACATATTATCATGTGGCAGTAACTTAACTTTAAACAATATATGCACACTCGTATGTAGGAATATGTATATATAACGAATTTTTTACACAATTTTATTTAACTCAGTAGGCATCGTTTGCTTGAGTGGTATTTCGTAGCTTATTAAAGTATTAAAATTTATTGCAAGTGTATGGAATTATATATAAAATAAAGAAAAATTTCCATAAAAAAAAAAATTAAATTATGTTTATGCATATAAATATTTGTGTTAAATCAGCGCTCGCTGTTGTTATTGCTTTTATAATTTTTTTTTGCATTTTTGTTATTTAACTATCAGGTCAATTATGTGACACTTGTGCAGATTGCATAGATATTAAATATTTTAATTTTTCATTTAAATGAGATTTTAAGTGCATGTCTAGTTTTTTGTTTACTTAAGCCATTTATTGACCTCTAAGCAACATAAGCTGCATATCAGTAATTAGCTAAAGTGTTGATCTAAAATCTATAAAATATATTAAATCAACAAAATCGTAACTAGCTTTTTAACTTTATAATTTTAGCTGCATACGCTGTTAGCAGACAGACTTTTTTAAAATGTAACTAAAGCATGTATCGTACGACATTAAAAAGTGAAAGAACCAAACCAAATTTTTCCTTTATCGGGTTCATCCTAACTCGCTGACTGGGAACTTTGTCCCTTATAATAATATGTTCGTTTAATATTAAATTTATTAATAAACGGTTATCCGTTTTGAGATCACAATCTGACAACCTGTTTTAATAACGAATATGACACACAACTGTCATACAATGAATCATATGTTTAGTGTAATGTTTACCATTTTACAATATGGATTGTTTAACAACCGCTGAATAGTAAAAACTTATTACAAATATATTAAGTGAGTAGTAGAATTTTCTACAGCAATTAGGCTTAACGTTTCGCATTTGGAACATTGTGGAGATCCACAAGCAACTGTCGAAGAACCGTTGCATTCCCAACTACATGGTGTGGCATTTGGTCTGAAGGTGTGATAGAACCGCACATTTTTGGAACAACCGTCAAATCTGATCGCTGCAAACACAGGACTTACAAATTTTTTTTTCGCGTGAAATTAAAGATTTGGTTGTTGAAGATATGCGGTCCTAACAAGATGTTGCCACAATACGTGTTGTATACAATACGTCCTGTGTCGGCATGGGTGCACGAACAAATTTCCGAACGTATAATGTCACGTTTTGGTGATGCTCGATAAAATCCTTTATGAGGAGGCTTTAAGCAAAAGTACACAAAAATCGGTGCCTCTTTCACCAATACCTAAATGAAGTACTTCTAGAGAAGGAGCATTTTAAGAAGGCTTTCATTTAACAAATGTATTCTTTGCAAAGATTCAAAACCTGTTCTTTTTTTTAATATCCAATCCTGTTAGAGACGCTTTTCTTTTTTGACGTTTGACGTTATTTTGATTTGTAATACTAGACCAGGAACATCTACATTAGGTTTCAGATTTCAGGTTGTTAGCTGGATTAAGATACGTGGACATTGCTAACTCTAGCGAAAAGCACGTCGCGTTTGCTTAGTGGACGGAAATGAAAATTGCTATGGAAACTAAATTCTTACGTTGACCACATCCAAATGATATATAAAGCGAACGGTCTAAAAGAAAGTGTATATGCAAAGGAGTATAGGGAGAGAGAATATAAAAAGTGAAAAACAAAGCTCCAGATTAACAGTCCATACATCTCGTAGACATGCAAGCAGGCATTGACGTGTTCTAAATTGATCCTTCGATCTTGAACTGATGGTGTAAAGATGCTGGTTCAACCGTAACAATGAATGAGTTGCGCTATCGAACAACGTGGACTGACTTCTTTCGGCCTAATATCGATGCCACCGTTATGAGTAACGTATGTCTTAATATTTTTGATACCTTTACTCGAAAAAGTCTTCTAAAATACAAAGCAATCCCATTTATGGTCAATATTTATTCTTTTCCATTTGTTCAAAGAAAAGTATCTTCAAAATCATCTGCGCACAAGCGTATAAATTGGATTTTAGTCAAGTTTAAGTTTAAGTTACAATATATTAGAAGGGATTTTTCCACGAAATACCGCTGAGTGTTTTAAATGTGAAAATAGACATGTTTCGGTACGAAAGCAGGCGTAATTTTTCTCCAAAGTAATTATTAGTCATAAGACTTAACCGGTTGAGCATAGTAAACGATTTTGACTGATTTTCTAAATATTTTTCTATGTCTCCCTTTTTAAAAGTAAACAAAAAAAAACTTTTCTCTAAATCGCTTTAATGGTGATATTTTTATTTTTTCTATCATATGTAAGGGTATAATTCAATGCCACATTAAAGCGTAATCAAATCAAAATGCCGCCTTAGAAAATGACCAACAGGTGTTTGCCATTTTAAGCATTCACATCAGCAGCAAGCGAAGTAAAAGGAGAAAAGGATTTTTTTTTTTTTTTTTGCTAACGTTGCTGCTGCTAAATATCGTTTGGTTACAGTGCACATAAGACAAGAAGAACTAAAGGTTATTTAGCGCGCCGCCAGTCACCAGTCAACCAAACTAACTAACCGTTCTACTAGTCAACGTTAAGGTAGGCTTGTAATGCAATTTTCAACAGCGGAAATTGAGATATTTTTCATAAGTTATGCGTGATCGTGGGGCGAACGCCAGAGACAGTGTAGATATGAAAAAAGCGAAACAACCGAAGTGTATTAAAGTTAGCCAACAGAATAACACAAACACCTTGCTTTCGTACTTTGTCTTCTACTTTATATACATAAACTTCCATTTTTGCCTTTCTTTGATGGTGATGGTTACATAAGTATGTTATGCATATAAACGCATCGAGCTATAGATAAAGGTATGATGAAGTATGACCAAAGAGCTGAAAGCTATATTTTTTAAATTTTGTTGTTGTTATTATTATTTTATTTATTATTTTTTATATTATTATTATTATTTTTTTTTTTCTGAATCACTTGGTGGTAGTAGCGATGTTTTTTTATTGTATTAAAAAACAAAATTGTTCTCCTTTTTCCGTCGAACAACCAGTAGTAACTGAGCTTCTGAATACATTTGCAATTAAGCTTGATTAGCTTTAATCGCTAACTGATATTTATGCGTTTTCATTAACATTAACTTTCATGGACTGTGAAAACTGACCAAGTATTAAACAAAGCCAAGCAAGCAAGCAAGCCAGCCAGCCAGCCAGCCAATGCTAAGCAGCAATCCGACCAACCAGAAGGAGCATGTCATCGTCAATGTTGTTATTAACTTAAGACGAGTGCTCTTTTCGGTTGATTTTTGTTATTACGGTTCTTTTTGCTCTTATTTTCTGTATTCATAGACGTAATACGGTGGATTATGTTAAAGTAAATTATAACATAAACAAAATTATTCATCATTTTTTTCGTAAGCAGTCTTTGCTAACCATTTAAATGCCGCATTAAAAGGAAAGAAAAGCAAAAGAATTACTTACCTTAGCGGAACTTTCTAATGGATTCCAATAAACGGCTATGGCATTGTGAGATACTTCTTCAATACAACCAACCAGGCCAACAGAATTCTTGGTATCTAAAGAGAAAAAACGATGAAAAAAATAACCAAATATTTCAATAAAAACTGGCAAAAAAACTTAGTAAAGAAAAATTGAAGGAAAAAGAGGGAAAACGAATGATGTTTGCCCGCAGGATATTCATAAATCGGTTGCGATAAAGAATTTGATGTGTAATTCCTTTTGTATAGTAGTGCTCAGTACGCCACTTGTAGTAGAGTTTTGGGTATATTACGTTAGTTTTGGGTATATTAACTTTTATTACACCAATCGATTTAGAATCAATCCACGCAAATCACATTGAATTATTTAAGTGTGTCCATTCGTCCGTCCGTCTTCTTTTCTTATGCTTATCTTACAGCCTATCCGTCTGTCTGTCGGTCTGCCTTGTCTTCTTTGTTTCAACCTGCAGGTCACAGTTTTTGAGATGTTTTGATAAAATTTGGTACATTGTTGTCTTTTGACCTAAGGGCGGATGCTATTGCAAATGGTTCGGATCGGTCCACTTTTTCGTCCACCTCCAGTAAAACACTTTAGTTTGCAACGTCGCTATATAAGAATAACCGTTAAGTGGTGTAGAGAATTTAATAGCGTCCTATGGTCCATTATAGTTCTTTTCTTGTTTAAATTATTAAAATTTTTACATTTTTTTAAATTTTCTAAAATCTATTTTCATATTAATAATGGAGTCATAAATGAATGCAATGAAAAGAAACAATGTTGAAAATTAAACATAAAAATAAAATTAACATCAATGTATGGACTATTAACGAAAGCGAACAAACTTGATATGAAACAACCACAACAACAACAACAACAATAAGGTAAGACAAAGAAGTTACGGCGACTGCAAATATTATTTGATCATTTGTCATCTTGGCAAAGGTATTAAAGGCCACAAATACCAGCTAAGTGCTGGTCTGCACAGTTCTTTTTTTTGTTATTTATACATGCTCATCGCGCAATTACTTATCTTAGCATATGCATCTCTGATTGGTTTGGCTTGGCTTGTAATATTTGTATGCCAGTATCTATCTATGCTGCACTTCCCTTTGCATGTGAGGGTATGTTTAAGTGTAATCGAGTCTTGTAGTGTTTTTCTCAATTAGCCGCAAAGATAGGCAGGTGCCCCCAAATGTGTTGCCCTCCCCTTAACCTTCCGTTCTCTTTTCCCACACGCCATGGGCATGTTGCGCGCGTTTAAAGGTCTCCTGTCTTTCTCCATTTCTTTCTTTTCATTCTTTATTTTAGTTTTTTTCTTTTTATTTATTTATTTATTTATTTATTAATTTTTTCTTTATTATTATTTATTATTATTTTTTATTTTCAGTTTATCAGCCATGAAATCTTTGTTATAATGGCCATTGTGGGCAATGGCCGCAACGAATTCAATTCGATGCGTATTCAATAAAATTACAAAACTTATAATGTGATATCAGGCATACAACATATGCGTTTGGTAATCAAAGACCAATGCATGCTGTTTTATACATAGATGATCATCAAGCAAGCACACATATACATATGTACACGGCATTATAAATTGATAAGCATCATTGGATTTAAGTATAAGTCATCGTCTATATGACACTTGTTGTAGAAATAGAGATTTTATAGCTAAACATATATGATTTCTATGAGGAAAGAGGACTTGACTCACTCATATAACACATATATATATATGTATTTAAAAGATTTTCCCAAACAGACAAATGAATGAGGCAACAATGTCTCAAATTACAGATTAACAGTCTTGACAGACAAACAAACAAACTAAGTATGTGCAAAGTAGACAAACGGATAGACAGACAAAATCAATAGACAGGCAATTGTACGCAACAATAATAATAATAATCATCGTAAAAAGAGTGCTTTTTCAACTGTAGGTGTTTCTTAAAAGATATTTTTCATTTACTTGAAAAAAAATATTTTTTCATAGACTTTTTGTTTGTTAGATTTCCTACATATAAACATAAATAATTTTTTTCTTACGTTTATTTATTTTTATTTTTAACCACATTTAGCCGTTTCTGCCTTTTCATAATTGATGTCAAACTGAAGGTGTTAAGTTAAAGGGGTATTAAACCGGGAATTTAAAATTATTTTGGAAAAACTTCCAAACTTTTAAAATGATTAGTAATTAATTCATTGTTAAACAAGGTTTTAACTGTTATATCCTACATGACTTGGGGTATAAGGTTGTATTAGGTTTGTGCGAATGTATGTAATATCCAGAAGGACTCGAAGTATGCCCATCTTTTATTAAAGTGTTTGAACAGTTTTCCAACCGCATCTCATACGAAGCCTTATTTTAAAAGTCATTATATGAGTAACTGTAAGATGTCGCAGGACATTTAATCATGAAATGCGGCTCACTACAGTATTTTTACTTGCTTTGATTAGTAATCTAGAAGATCTAAAATAGTTAGAACTGTTAAGAAGCTCTTAATAAACCTTCTATTTTGAGAAGCGTTACGTTTCCAAGGTGTCAATGTAAATAAAAATACATAGAACCCTTACGACACCCTATGAATAAAAACGTTTATCTGTCATTGATAAATAAACTAATACGTTGAAGAAACACTAACTTATTGAGATTAAATATATTGGATAAGTTAACAATCTGGCACCTTGATTAAAGGGATCCCTTAAATCCCCTTAGACCCTTATTTTAGGTGACATATGAAATGTCTTCACGCAATTCTTATTTTTTTACACTAATAAGCTCCAAGATGCTCTAGGTAGGAAAAATGTCAAATGTTTAGATGAATAAGTTAACTACTTTGTAGGTTTGGAGATATTCTCTGGATCAATCGTTTCCATCAATTCAATTATCAAAGACCCATTTTTTGAAGTAAGTAAGAAATAACGTAAGAATAACGTCTATTAATACAAGAGAGAGAAGTTGTTATCAAATTTCATAGTTGTATGATTGTAGTAAATTCCCTTGCGATCTTCTCGTGATAGCGAAAATAAGTTTTTAGCAAAGCAAAAAAAAAAAAATTGAATACAGAAAAATGCTCTCTAGTTTGCACGGTCTGAGTTGAAGAAGCAAGCGTAGCTTTGGGGAACTATTCATCACATTAAATTAATATGTCTTACTTGAATTTGTGTCGATCTTTCATTATGAGTTTACAAATCGTACGGCCCGAGTACTAGAAAACTTGTTCTAGTCTTGCGCAGTTTGATTTGAACAAAGAAGGATACCTTTAGGGATTTTTTTTAAGATCAGGCTAATATGTGTTGCTTCTACTTTTATAGGTAATTTATTATAAGTTCACACATCGTAACTCCTACGCTGAGTGTAGGTAGATGCCTGATAGCCGAACACGGGAATATATCGTCTAATCTTGCGTAACTCGATATAAAAAGAGGCGTACTTTTAGAGGGCCATTTCGCGAAAACCTGAATAAGTTTTGTTTGTGCTTCTTTGGATCTTTTACAAGGGGCACCTTAACACAGCTTCCAGGGAGCCAAATATTGGTAACTTTGGCTTAATCTTTCGTAGTTCGATTTAAAGAAAAAAACGTACGTTTGGGTAAAGATATTTTTTATATTTTTTAAATCTATAACAAAATTCTATCTTTGACAATTTTTCAATAGTAGTTCACGTATCATCCTATGCAAACCTGAAAGAGCAGCCAGATTTCTAACTAAATTGCTTAGTAAAGTGAAGCTTTGTAACCAAATTAGATAAAAGGCATTTTCGGCAAACTCCCTCCGTCGCGTAGTCTCTTATCGAAGGCTCGCCAACTTTGAAAGTCACTTGTTGTAAACTCATGAGAAAAGCTTACTTAGATGTCACGTTAATCTAAATTAAGGTCACGTTATTTTTTAATTTTAAGGTGAAGGTTCTAATTTGGAAGAAGGTGAGGATTTATAGGTAAAAGAGGGTAAAACTTTTTATTGATATTTGCTTACCTGCATCCAAAATTCTTTGTTTTACCGAATGCTGTCGACTATGCCAAAATTGCCAGGCTTTAATTTCATCTTCAGGACTTTTCTCTTCACGAAACATTAGCATAATTACGCTCTGTAAACAAAAAAGCAAAATAAGTTGCAATCGATAAAACAAAAATAATATTGAAATAACTATTACATTAATTTATATAAAACCAGTATTAGTATAAGAGTCAGGTGTTTCATTAAGGTCTCGGATTATGTTTATTTTGATTTAGTACCTTTTTTTTCCTGCACAATCTGTAACAGCCATTAGGCGAGGCTTTAAATTATTTACTTAGTGTGGTTTTTTAATAAATTCTCAATATTGACAATTAATTCACATAAATATTTTATTAGCACTTTACGGAAAATTAATGTATTGCATAAATGTAAAGAATACGTTTTTCATAAACGATAATGGTAATATATATATATATGTATATATATATATATATAAAAATCAATATATGGGAAACTATTTATGAAATTTAATTCGAGCTAAACCTGTCAAAGAAATACATATGAAGTTGTTGCTTTCATTGCATTGCAGTTAAGTTTTGATTGAGCACTTGACACGCTGGCTTATGTAAGACTTAAAGCTGAAAGCATTAAGATAGTTAAAGTTGTAGGTGCTCGTGTCACGTTCAATTAAAGCGCTTCTTCACAGCAGGATTTGCAACCTTTTTTCGAAAGAGCTTCGCCTCTTTTTTGCTATTTTTAGTGTTGAAGAAAACAAGGTAAACCGTTTAATGTTTTGGCCATTTTAGGCTCACTTTTTAATCGCTTTTAATATAGAAAGCTTCCCTTTGTTTTTTGTTGATGAACTCGTAGCAAGTTTGCAAAGATCGCTGTTATGTTCATCTCAAATGGAGTTTTTGATGCGTGCCATCCTTTAATCAATAACGAAGAAACTGGACACAGATCGCTGGATGATACAGGGAACCATTTACGTTCGATTTTCGATCAAAATCATCTACGCATTGTAAGCTGAAATTATTTTCCTATAGTGAGCTTGTACAGTTATTTATCGCATATTTTCAGAGGTAGGTTTACATTATCTATGAGCATTTGCATAATTACGCTTTCTGCAGGTACTGTCTATAGGCCTTACGACGTAATAAAAAGTTATCTATCCGAAGCATATCCAAGGTAGCTTCTGGGAGTTTTGAATTTGTTCAGAATTAGGGGAAAAAAAGGTTGAACGCAGAAGACACTACTCTACATTACATTAGCAGCATTGAATCGGAACGAACCACCCGTCGGTGACTGACTGCTGCCAAATTTTCCATCCGCACAAAGGTTTCATTCTTACGATGAAATCTAAAAGGAATAATCCTTTGGTAGGTATCCTCAAGAACGCTCGTGTCCTTTTGATATAGCATTGCTGCTTTGCCAGAATGATGGAAAAAGTGAGTAGCCGACGACACTTTGAATAAGATACTTTCTACCATGCTTTTAACGTAAGCGTTTTTTTCATAAAACAACAGCTAAGGAATTATTTCAACGCCTAAAATTTCTTTATTATACGCACGCATTGAAATTTCTTTATTATATTTTTAAACGGTCTACTTTAACTTTTGCGAACATGGCAAGTTAAGGACGGGCAAATAGATAGACGCAGAAAGGTACATCAAAACTATAATTATGCCTAAAGGCAATGCTTACAAATGATGAATTTTTGTTTTTCAATGAATTTTATTAACATAATTTATTATTGAATTGTGAAAAGTAAAATGCTCTCTTTCAGTCTTCCGTACATTTTATGACTGATTCTTTGATTAATCCTACCTTGTCTGCTTTTAAGTTTATTCCTGTCAAAATGTCTTTCAATGACTAGCGCTGATCTATTATCGTATTTTATAGTAGTATCTTTCTATATGGATATGTATGAACAGCAGTACAACCAACGATTTGTGCTTCACCTCAGCGAATAAGTCTTAAGAGACCACTGAACGTAATAATGAAGATAGAGTTTTTCTTTGAGTTTGAATATCTGCTGAATGAAATTTGATTTTGTAAAGGCTTAATATTTTTCGAATGAACTGATATTAATATCGATGCCTTTGTAGACAGGTTTACTGCACAATTCGATTCACTGCGTTGTTTAAAGTGCAAGAATTGCATCAAAAAATATATGTAGGTATCATTGCTCAATTGACAATTCACCCTTAACCTACTGATTGAAACTCAGTTCTTGTGCAGGTATTTGTGGCTTTTGCAAACGCAACAATTAAAAGTTCTCACAGTTTTGCTAAAAAAATCGCCACTGGCTAGTTCGCCTTCTTTCATTACTAAAAGAGAACTGCTATTATCAACGCTTACTATTCTTGATCAACACAGACAGCTAACTACGGAACTTATCTGACGAAAATCCAATCACGGGCAACTTCCTTGAAGAGCTAATGGGTTCGAGTCTCTTTTGCTACTTTCTTCCGGTTATTTCTCTCTTTACTTTCGTCCATCACAAATGTGCAATGTTGAGATGGTCAACTAATGATGACTAACATTTTCCTGTGCTCAAGCCGCGTCCTTACAGTTAAGAATGACTCTTCGAAGCGTTGTATGGTGGCTCTGATTATATCCAAATTTCAGGAAGAATACCCAAGTGATCGGTTGTGCAGTTGCACTGTAGAAGGGTATGTTGGAAGCGTTGGATAAATGCTTTCATCTAACAGAGTTATCCAACGTTGATTTAGTTGCTAAACTCACTTACGTTTTGTCCGACTTCAGTCGATCTGGGCTTAAGACTTCACGTCAGAAACTTTCTTAAAATTTCCGGAAACTTCGCTCCGCCCATTTCATTTTATCGTCGATCGGGGTGACCGAGTGCACATTTTGGGAGGAATACTCATACCCTTGGGGGTGCAGCTGCTCAATAAGAAAGTGCGAAGGCTGCATTCTTCTTTGACGATATGGAAAGACACATTTTCATTCTTTGTGATTTGAGCCACTCTGAGTTCAAATTTTCATGGCAGGAACCTTCGTAAAGTCCACATAAGTATCTGTCCTTCCATCTTAGCTTGGCATAGTAGTGACTATGTGAAAATTCAAAAAGAATACCTAAGCGTTCAATAGCACACCTACAGTACAGAAGCTGCTGGGATCAAAGGCAACCGAAAGTGTGAGATGAGTGCTTTCATCTGACAGAATTAACATCTTTGACGATCTCGAAAGACACACTTTCACTCTGTTCGATTTGAGTTGCACTGGGCTTAAATCTTCAAAACCGTACTTAAACTTCCACATTTGTCCGTCCATCCTATGCAGTTTTTGACAGCCTTGAGTCCAATTTGGAAATCTGTTTTTTAAGGTTGATGGTATTTTTTTCACACCTAAGTCTTTCTCACAAATGAAGGAAGAAACACTTGATTTCTTCATCCCTTGATGAAGCTCCTATAGGTTGTAAACAGAAATAGAAATTTAAAATCTTGACACAACCAACTTTTCGTATCATTCCCAGTCTTTTTGAACGAGATAGTAATTTTAAAAATATTTATCTGAATACAAAACTTAAGATTGCGTATCAAACAATTCCTATTAACATATAATAACATTATTATTATTGCTATGACTAATCTTTAAAGAAATGAATAAATATTTTTGTGATTGCTTTTGCTATTGCTTTGTTTTCTTGTGTTATTAGGATTATTATTTATTGTTTATAAGTTTTATTTTACCGAACAACGCCTTTATTAATGTTTTTTTTTTTTCTCACTGTTTTCTTCTCTTTTTGTTTATCTTTTTATATATTCCTTTAAAAAGTCAAAAGTTATCAGCATTCATATGCTAAATAAAATTGATCAAAAAGAAAAAAAAGAGAATTTATTTAATTAAAAGAATAAAAATAAAAAAAAGAAATACTAAGAAAAATTTGCATCTTAAATAATAGATGATAGCAGCAGCTAGCAACTGTAAGCAAGAAAGAAATTGTAGCAGTAAAGTAAAGTCGGACGGACAGACAGGCAGACAAGCAGATCGGCAATATGGAAAAAATACCCCTTTACGATAAAAACAACAACGACTAAAGCACTTAATAAAAACTGAATATTTTAGCATATCATCGATACGCTAAACGTAGAAGTAGTTAACAGGGCAGCAACTAGCCAACGCTGGCAATGAAAAAGCGTCATAAATAATTTCATATTTAACTGTAGCAAGAATTGTAAATGAAAACGGAAAGAAAAATTTGCATTCAATCCTTTAAACTTATGCAGGCATTGATTTATATATAAAACTGTAGTCCCCGTACGTACGGGGTTGTGATGCCAGAGCAAGGGCTTAATAGCTAAACAAACATAAATTAATGCTGACACTTTTCTTTTTACATTAAGAGACTAACACAGACATAAATTGACTTCCCTGCCTTGCTACTGCTGCTGCTATTGGTGCTGCTGCTGCTTCGGCTGCCGGTTCTTGCATATCAGCTCCTGTTTCTTATGTTTCATTTCTTCTTTTTTTTGTTTTTATTTTGCTTAAGCTTTATATGGATTTTTTAAGGTTTAGCCTAGAGGTACTGTTGTTATTTGAGCCTTTTTTTCAAATTTTATTTATAGGAATTTTATGCAAATATTTCTACCAAACTAAAGATAATCTGAAGGCAAAGAAAATATGAAAAAAGAATTTTTTTTAAAATCATTTTTCTTAGGCGAGAAAGTGAAATAAATATTCATTGAGTGAAAAAGCAGCAAAAGTTTTTAGAAAAATGACAATATTAAATTGAAAAATAAAATATTTTTAATAATTAAAACGGTTTACATGTCCATCTATCCATCCATCTGTCTTTATAGTCATCGCTTATATTAGGAGCAGTATTTTTCTCATTTTGTTCAACAAGCCTTTGGGCACAGCATATGTCGATTATTACATGCTGTACGCATTGCTTTAAAAAAAAAAAAAAACAACAACAACACAAATGCGTATAACGATTAATGTTAAGTGAAAATATACTTTAAAGTGAAACTATAAAATGCATGAAAATGTCTAACAATCTCAGGCATTCGTTGTATGAAGTTGCACAGGCAGCAGATCGGTTTTCTCTTTATCTTCAGTAGATCGAAAGCAAAAAAAAATTATTTTAAATAATTTCAGTGAAATACAAACAAAGAAACCGTAACAGTAGCTTTCGCTACTAAACAATCGAAATGAAATCATTTAAATTTTTGAAGAAATTTGCATATCCGGTTCTTTTATTATTGTACTCCTTAAGACAAGTCTCTGTAAGTGATGATTGATTGTAGTTTCGAGGAAAATATGTGAAATCGAAAAGACTTGGTTTCGTAAGCCTAAATAAATACACTTGAGTTCTTAGCTCTTCTCTCACCTATTTTTCGGTATATTTATCTTCTAACGTTGAAAGCTGCGCAAATTGTTTTTATTTATTTTTTTCGTCTTATTTGTTTCTTGCTCTGCAATTGAAATCATTTATCACTTTTAACATCTCATCAACTCATCATGATTAAATGTCCTGATTTGAAATGACATTGACGAGTACTATTCTCGACAACGCAGTTACCAGTCAACAACAAACAAAGGGTTGTTTTCCTTAGCCACATACCCTCCAGACATAGGCGCTTAAGAAAGTGCTAAATTTTAAATCATGCATAACATGACAAATCACTAACGTTTATTTATACTTATTATTCTTTTTTGAATATTATTCACCCTTTATCTACATTTTCCTGTTTTCATGTTCAATACAATATTTACTTAAGATGAAATTCTTCCTTCCTGCCCTTAAGGCCTCCTCTATCTGTCTATGTGCGTTATTCTTTCTCAGTATCGGGTATATAATAATAATTTATCATTTGATTTGAATCTTTTGATTTCATTTTGTACATGTGCGCATGTAAAATCTAAACTAATTTGCATTTACAAATATCATCAACTTTGTGAATATCACGATCGGCATCACCACCATCATAATCAACATCATCGTCATCATCATCATCATCATCATCATCATCATCATCATCATCATTATTGCAATGAATTTTTATATGTTACAGTTCATGTTTAGATTAAATTGTTGCTTGCTTACCTTAACTGTGGTATTCTTAATAGGTTTATCAGGATCGGGTATATATTCCAAGGTAATGCCATAAAATTGTCCTTTATTTATATACGTTATTCGGTCGTCTTCTCGTCGTTGTGATGAACTAATCGGACTTTCCAAATGATATTTGAAGCCCACATTTGTGAAACTGCAAGACAGAAAAATTGTGAAATAATTTTGATATAAAAAAAATGTATTAAAATTTGTAAGAAATCGAAAAGAAAAATTCGCTTGAAGTGAAGCATTAACAAAGAAAAATCAAAGGAATAAAAAAAAGCATAAAGGGTCACAAAATCATCAAGAGCTATTCCTAGTTATATAAGTTTAGCCTTATCGAATTTTAAAGGAAACACTGCGTATTCGGAATATGAGATAAATATAATTGGGAAATCAAATGAACAAAGGGAGCCGAAGATGTATATATGTAGCGTGCCGGTTAAATACAGGAATTCGAATGACTACAGAATACTGGAGATATCCTGGATGTATATTCGTAATATATATGCTGTCTCCTATGGATAGATGTATATGCATATATATAAGACGGGTAACAGACAAGAATATAAAAATATAGCATACAAGTCTGAAGTACAAGGCAAAGATACGTAAAACAATGAACAAAAAAATCATTGTAGAATATATGTAGAATAACGGAGAAGTATTGTAATTCATACAAGAGCAGGATGCTGGATAAATGTTAGTAAGATAGGCAACTAACAAGGGATATCGAATAGGTATATATATAGGACAACCGGCAAATGTAGGAATTCGCGCAGGTACGGTGTAACGGATTTAGCAAGAAATTTTCATTAAATAGGAATAGAGATAGAAACAGAGAATAAACGAAGGTTAACGAAGGTTTAATGAGCTTGCGACCTTCTTCAAGTGTAAAGGAGGACTTACTGCTTTATTTGAGAGCAATATGCATAAACATACATGTTGCGCTCCCGCGAAAACGTAGAAAGCTCATTGCAAAATATGTCAGCAGGTTTTTGGTCGAAATCGATCGTCAATTATTCATTAAAAATCTTTACTACTGCTACTACATTGTGCATGAGTTAGCAAAAAGCGAAAAGATTTATATCATATCTGTTCAAGTCACAATATGTCGTCTCTTGATCTAAAAGTTATTGCGAAGAGCCCAATAGTTCATATTTCATTGACATTTTTGTCAAGGAATAAACATAACATGTGCTCGGGTGACGGATGCAAAATTTACGAAAAACATTATAATAGCGTTTTTATCTATCTATTTTGTAGCTTCTTGTATTGTAAAGAATGTGTTAAGCATATGTCTTATGTAGGAAACAAATAATTAATGATATTTCTTAATGATGTCAAGAAAGTCAAAAGTGGCCAGACATAACACCATACGGCATCATTCCGAATTTACGCTTTCACTTATTGAAACTTGTATAAAACTGTTGTACGCTTTCTGGAGCGATATGTTTCAATATCTCCGGACTTACATCTAAGCATCTCATTATGATAAAAATCAGCTTTGTTTTCCTTTCGTTGAAATAAAGGACTTTTTACACCTTGTATCGCCCTATATATGCTTATAAATTTCAAAATGATGGATGGAGTCATTTCGACGCGAATGGTGTATGTCGAAGGTTTTGAACAAACGAACATTCGAGCTAAGTTTCCCTGTCCATTTGTTCATACTCTTGTGTTCCACCTACAAGAGACTGTTATTGAAATGATTCGCATCGAATCACTTTTTCGGCCGTTTCCCATATAACATCTTACTTTTGAAAACTCGTTATACAAAGAACTGCAGTAAGCGAAGTGGTTCAGGGTATTAAATGGATGGCCGTCGCCACATGTATGCTTTCAATTGTTATTCATGTAGATTGTTTTGAGTTTAGGTAATTTTCAGATCAGATACACTTTGTAGATTATATTTGCATCTTGCCGCCAAACATTCATTTCCCGTCTAATTGGTTTAAAAAATATATAACAAAGAAATTTTCAAAGCGACTTTCTCTTCCAAATGAATCAAGCTAAAAATAGTGAACTCTATTCTAGATTTTTCCCTTGCTATTTCCTTTCTAATAAGCGTTGCAAAAAGCTGTCTTGGCTTACTTTTCTTTTTAAGTACAAAACACATAAAAAACAAAAAGGCCCCTGCATGACTAGTTGTAGAAAATTCAAAAGCATCATAAAAATTTAAAGAAAATTTTGTACAACATTTAAAACAAATCAAAACATAATTTTGTTCATGTATTTTTAATCAAGAATAAAAAGTGAAGAAGGTCTCTTTCAACTTCAGAAGAATGTTTAAGAAACCCTGGCATTTGAATTTGCAAAAATATTTATGAAAACTTTGGCTTTGTTGCTTACATTTTTGGTATTTGTATCTTATCAGCATCATTTTGTCGGCCAAAATCATGCCACGGCCTCGAACGTGTAGCACTACCGTTGGCACTTGTGCCACCCAGCGATGTAGTCGGACTATTTTGACCCCCATGAACACTAACAGCACCACGTGGTATATTATTGACGGATACCGGTATACCGCTGTTATTATCCAGCAAAGTGCCCGGTTGGCAAAGTTCCGTATAATCGAAAGACTGAAATGATACAAAAGCGAAAACCATTAATATTTTATAAAAGCAAACACAAAACAAATTGAGAAAAGTATAGTGGGGCATTTTTTTAGCAAGTTTTAGAAGAACATTGTAATTTCGTTACATATATAATAAAAGGACGCTACACACGCTCTTTTACCAGTTTCGTAGAACATGAAAATCCTCCTAAAAGCTCAAAAAGAAAAGTAAATATTTTTTAAAAAAATGTATGGATTAAACGATTAAATTGTGCTGACAACTACAACAACATGCAATGCTTAGACTTGTATTAAGGATTATGAACAAATGTGAAACTCAATCAATTGTTATTATTATTTTTGCCTCTACATACCTGTTGTATGTTGTTTTGATCTCTGGGTGTTATCGCATCGGCTCCTATACCCGAATCCGGACTAGGCAAATCGACTGTAAGGCCAGCAGCGGTTACTGTTTTCGTATAGATCGGAGTGCCACCATTCTTTAAGACCGTAGTAGCGGGGTGAGGCGGTGGAGCATTATTGTTAGCAACGGAGGTGGTGGTAGTGAAACGTCCCTCATAAGTAGCTGTAGGTTGGCTACCATCATTGTCGCCATAAATGGTACGCGTGGGCGTATAACCTTGACCGTCTGTGGTAAAATATTCCCGATAGTAGTTCTCGGCTATAAAAGTTGTCGCTGGAGCAGTTGTTAAACGGCCAGTTGTGTACATGCCATAACCATCGGCTCCAATGTAAGGACCTGGGCTGGGTGTTTGCGTATTCACCGCTGATCCGGCGCCACCAGCCGAGTTCTGATGCGGGCCCTTAAATAACAATAACAATATAACAAAAAATTAAGTGATTTTAAAATATTTATTAATGTTGCATGTGTGCACTCAGTCATCTGTATCCTAGCATGCTACAGCTCTCCGCAACAGCAATTGGTGGGTGATAATCGGATTATGTTTTTTTGTTTTTCCACATGTGTTATTCTGTTGTTGTTGTCAATGTCAATATAGTTTTGTTTCGTTTTGTTTTTTGTGGTTCTTTTTACTGCAGATTACTAAGTGGAGGTGTGCTTGTTGACTTCATATACATGTGTGTATGTACGTATGTGTTCTTTTATAGAAAACATGTTCAATCCGTATTTTTGTTAAGTTTGTGAGTGGTATTCCGGTTTAATGGCCACTGGCGCTAAATCATTGACTGACGTACTACCAGTTGACTCTACTACTATTGTTGGCTACAGGGAGAGCGAGAGTTGAGGAGATAAAGAGACGATAGCTTTGTGCGTTCTGCTATTAACACCGTTGTTATTATTACGTTATGTTCTGTTAACAATTTAAACCAGTAGCCTCGGCCTACCACCGCAAAAGGTAATTTGTTTCGTTGTTGTTGTTCTTGTTGTTGTCGTCACATTTAAGTAAAACTATTAAATCTCATCTTATGGTTTTACAGGTTGTTAAGTATTTTTGTTTTTCGATTATTTTTTTTTTTTTTTGTTTCGCGTTAATGTTTTTTTTTTATTCAATTGCTTTGTAAGAAAAAAATCTCACATTTTTTTGTTTTGTTTTTTTTTTGTTTTCATCATTTACTTTTCCACTTTTATCTTTTGTTAATTGAAAACTTACCTGCAAATAGATTTGAGTGCCGCCGCCGGCAGCATACATGTTTGCTTCGGTATTTGTGGGACTTCCAGGACTGGGTGGCGGTTCTTTGATTTGTATGTGTGTTGTTGTGGGTGAAGGCGTTTGCACCACAATTACCTGCGAATGTTTGAATTATATATTTTTGGCATTTGTCAAAATTTTTTTTTTTTTTGCAATTTTTTTTCTAAATCGTTCTCAACCATGAAAAAAAAAATATTTCCTCCTTTTTTAATTTTATATATAAACAAATATTTTTAAAAATACAAGAAAAAAAATTTTTTTAACAACTAAATTAAACACCTGTTTTGAAGAACAATAAACAAAAAAAATCATCGCTAACATAACAAGTCGTAGAGATGAAGGTGTAAAAAAAAAATACATAAATAAATACCACAAAATCATAGATGAATGACCACAGTGTGTGTACGCGGTGTTTATGATGGTTAATATACTGGACCGCACCTTACTTGTGGCTCTGTGTCTTGCTTTTTTTATGTTATATTTGTTAGTTTCACTTTTCTGTGATGGTTTGTTTTTTTTTTTTTGTTTTCGATTTCGTTGTTTTATTTTCTAGTTTATTATGTAAAAGTATTTTCAAGCAGTCTCTAAAATATTTATCGCTAAAAAACAATTAATTAAAAGTTGAAAGAAAAAAAAATATTCTTGGTCTTTTTCTTTATATAGAAAAGCAAAGGCTGTTTACAAAGCAGTAAAATTTAAAGTAAAATTGGGAATTTAAGCGCAGCAGCAGCAACCGAAAAGCCTATTTTTCTTATTGAAACCATAATGGACTCAAATCGTTTTCTTCAAGTTTACATGAAATTACTTGTGAAAATTGTTTAATAACAATCTCTTTATCAAACAATGACTGATAGCATTTCCTTTATTTTCTTCTTCTATCCTCCAAAAGTAACTGTTTGGGAATCCATAAATTGTTCATTTAAGTCCGGGAACAATTTTATTGAAAAAATGAATGAAGCACAGGCACAGCAAATATCCTTAAAAACTGAAACTAGGTCTATACGGAGGTATGGAATGCATCTTTGTATAGTCGCATTTAATTAAAGCTTTTATTTGGGCAATATCAACAGTGGCTGGTGCACAGCATCGGTAAAACAAAAGTATCTAAGATTAAGTTGCTTAATCACTTCCGAAACGCAGCTCACGCATTCTGTCCATACGCAACACGTATTTTTCGAGAGATTGCGAAGTGTTTTCGTAATTTTCGAAATAAAACGTAGAATGCATACAAGATGTATAGTACTCTTCTTCCTTATATTTTGTATAACCAACGCCACTTGTGGTAAATGGGTATATTTTAAGTTTGTGGGAAGTCTGCAACAAGTAGAAGGATTTGGGATAGATCTACCTTTTATCATATCGATCGACTTATAATTACTTTGTAAACTTGACTGTTCGTCTTATATTCTTGTGTTCAGTCCACAAATTCATAGTTTGGATCGGATCACTTTTTCGACTATTTACAATATTTGAAAGGTCGTTGTATGATTGATGGTGGCCTGGTGTAGGGTATTTAATGATGAACCGCACAACGTTTTTGTTTATTTACTTGTTCATATTATTTTTTTTTTCTCACAACAGATCATATCCTCCCTCTGGCACTGTTGACAGACCCATATGATTTTTGAACAGCGCCAACCTTTAAACGAATCGCGTCAAAGTTTCTTAACATTTCAACCATTAGTTTACAAGTTATAGTCGCTAAAAGCACACCGGTTTCTTCGTTGCTTTGCACGGCCTTCGCCGGTTGCTATCCAGCCGGCTTATTGCCGATTTGACGAAGGAAAGTAGTGATGAACCGACGTCTTATCCATTGTCTCATTTGGCATAAAAAATCGCCTAAATAGCGACGTGAGCATGTTGTTGTCACAAGTGAACGAACGCGGCACCCACTTCAAACAGAGCTGTCTCATGAACAAATGTTCATGAAAAGTAATAAATGCGCTGACATTTGATATCATCAGCGTGCTAGCTATCTCAACAATCACACACATATTTATCTTTCCGACGGGGAAACGCCGGCCCGTAACATCCTCCAAGCTGCCACTGTTTGCAATCGTATTTTTTCTCATAAAAGAGCAACGTTTATTCAACAAACGATATTCGGGCTTTGCCTGAGCTTTGGAAATAATAAAAGTAGCGTCACTGAAACGACTGTAACTTATAAACTAATGATCTGAAGTGTTGACACGTATCGTTTAAAGGTTGATGCTATCCAGAAATCGCATTGGTCTCTCCACAGTGTTGGTTGTTTTGATAAATAAACGTAAATCTCGTTGATAGTTTCTTAACGCTATCGTAATCAAAAGTTAACAAGAGTTATCTAAACGAGTTTTTATTTCTTAGGTTGGCAGCAACTCAACTGACAAATGTGTCAAAAATCATGTCAACATATTCATTAGCTCATAATGTACAACTAAAGTACTCATCTAAAGAATAAAAACAATTTGCGATTCGGCTTTACTTTGTCGATCGAAACGGTGTTTTCTGAGAAGACCCAGAAATTAGAAGGAGTTATACCAGGTCAGTACGTCGGTCTGTGGAAAAATATGAATAGAATATCTGGTGAAAAAGTGGCGAAGGGCTAATGCATTGTGAAAAATTGTATTATCGTGAGTTATTAACGAAGAGTTATTGGTCTGGGGAATGGCTTTGCGCGAACAACACGTTATACTCCAGTAATATTTTTTAGGAACAATTTTCTCTCAAGAATTAATAACTAATTAATAAATAATTGATTAATAACGCATTTCATCGCGATAATGGACGAAGGCTTGTTCCTGTTACTTTTCGATCACAGCAGTAGGTATGTCGACGCTTAACCCACTTCCCTAGTAGTGTACACACCGGCACGTTACTCATATCATATATCCGTCGAGAACAACACCCGCCAAAGTCATTTCTGTAAGGAATTAAATCTTTAGTTGATTAAAATGAATTTTTAAGTCACGTGCATGTTCGAGGTTAAAGTTCGCAAAGTTGCGCAAATTGAAAGAAGATACTAAGCTGGGCTAAGCTCAATCAAAAACAGCTCGGCGCTACGTTAGCTATTATATATTGAGTGGAAACTAAATCGTCTATATAGTTCGTTATGCTAAATTTAAAAAAATTGCGACAATGTTGACAAGTGGAAGAAGAGATTTTCAAAACGCTTTTGATAATCACTTGCATAACACAGCTGAAGATCTTAAATCTTCGCAAAATGTTTGGTGTAGCACTACAAATGTAACGTATTTACCATTTTTGCGATGAACTTAGTGAAGGCAGCGGTTATTTGATGATTTATTCCCTTCGTCAGTCAATCACTCTTACGTGTAACACGGTAATGATCGGAAAGGAATGAGGAAAGAGAGGAGATAGATAACGAGTGGCCACAATCTAGCGACCCCATGTTTATTGGTTGGATCTATCCAAAGTCCTCCTGGATGTTACGTATATCCATAAAAACTTAATATGTTATCTGCCGCAAATAGAGTGTAAAGCACAATAAGAAGAAACCGTTGTGCACGCATGAAAATAATAATGAATGAGTCTGATCTGCTTAGATAAAATTTCATTCAAAAAGTATTTTTAGAGCTTTCTTCTCAAGATGGCACGCACTCTATACGACAAAAAAATAATTCTGTGAATGTACCTAGTAAAGTGCTTCATGTTTGGGCAATATTTTTAATGAACTACGTGAGATATGATTTCAGAAGATTTTCATTTAACTTTCTATCTAAAGAGTTTTTGAAGAGAAACCAACTTAACGCATATCAGCATTAAAAGCAGACAATAACATCTTTTATACTTCGGTGAAGCGCGATAGAAGATGAAAAAGAATTTAATTGTAATAAGGGATTGCATCATTATTTGTAAAAATATTTCTTGGAAATTTTTATAAAAAAAAACACATGTGTAAGAAATGAAATTTCGCTGCTGACTTATGAAAGATTTTAAAGCAGAAATTACGATTAATTTACGATTTAGTCAGTTACGGTGGATACTCAAGTGATATCGAACTCAACTCACTGTTTTTTCCGAGTTATTTCCCATACGGGGTATAGTGAACGTTTAAGAAAAAGAATTAATGCAACACTTGGCCTGAGATGGTTTTTACTCCTGGATGGAATTTTTGTAGTAAAGTAAAATGAACGAGGAAATGAGGGAAATATTTTTCAACATATATTACGACGTGATTGATTATCAAAGAGACGAAAAGTGCTTGTTTATGACCACTGCTAGAAAGGAATGCTTTGGAAATGCTGACGGCTGATTTTGAAAAAGGTTTAAATTTTTTCTTGGAAAACAAAGATTGCTACGATTCTAATCTTTATGGCTCTGCTAGTTAACTCTTTATGCTTTCAACTTAGTTCCAATTAAAACATTTGAAAGAAAAGTACTTGTGAAATGCTTACAGAAGATAGAAAAGATTTAATATTTCGGTTCTGGAACATTCTTGATCAATGCAATACTTTGGCTACATATAGCCAAGAGTTTTTAAATTATTTTATTTTCATTCAGACGGTTATTTTTCTAGCGAATAATCAGTGCTTCGATATACAACTAGCTGGCTGGCTTATCGCTTCCCTAACTGATTGCGTTCCCAAACTACTTCGTTGATGTATTCCCTCGCTTGTGAATTTATATGGCTGTCCACACATTTTCCTGTGAATTTGTATGCTCTCCCATCAATCTGCTTTCTAGTCGTCTAACCGGGTGTCTATCTATGCCATAACTTTCGCGTGGCCTTTCCTTCTGTGTCTTACCATCAGTTCACTTTCTATAAATGCATTCGGTAATAAATTCAGGCAAGTGTGAGTTACGTTTCTGCGCATCTATCTAGTCATCTGTCTATGCTTTCGTATGTCCGTATGTCTGTTAATTCGTACCCTTTCTCATCAATCCACTTTTTATGCATCTATCATCTTTTCATTTGTCCATGCATTCATTTACATGGGCATTCTTCAATCGATCAATTTGACCAAATTTCATCAGTGGACTTTCTACGCGTTTGTCTAGACATCTGCCTACGTCATCTCCTGTCTAAGCTTTCGTTTGTCCCTACGCTTGCGCTATAAACCACTTCGTTTACTCGCTTATGTTTGCGCCTGTCC